GGCTATAAATCCGTAAACATGGATTAGGTACTCATAAATACCCCTTAGGTCAAATGACCGGTCAAAGTCAACTTCTTGGTCAAAGTCAACTCTCTGATTGACTGGACTCACCGAGTCCATATAGCGACTCACCGACTCCTTCTTCGTCTAGTCCGACTCTGATTCATCAACTCCCTGTTCCCACTCACTGAGTCAGCCTGACTCAAGACTTGGGACGATTGGTCCGACTCGTGACCCGACTCGCTGAGTTTGAAGAATAACTCACCAAGTTGTTCATCCAACTCGCCAAGTCTAAGGCCATCTTCATGGAACTCGCCGAGTTCCTTCAAACCTTCTTCCTATACAGGCCAAATTTGAGACATGCAACGGATCCAACTCATGGGTCTCAGTTCCTAGGGTCTGGTTATCACATATACACACGAAATCTGGGGTTTTAAGGCTTGAAGACCACCCATTGGGGACAAAAAGGAACCTAAGAAGCTAATGAACAAAGTGGGGAGTTTTATTACATGATTTGATGCCTTCTACATAGTAGATTTCGGATCTACCTTCACTTCTGGAACACTCCAACTTCTTCCTTCTTCCTTAAGCTCCAAAACCTTCTTTGGAAGATCAATATCACTCAAGAACACTAAGGGAGGGGGGGCTAGGGTTGCTCTCTACTGCTCTCTGGGAGTAAATGGGATGAAATGGGTGTTTTGCATGGGCAAAATTGCAGTACAACATCTTAAGGTAAAGTTTCATTCAGACAGGTGAACTCGCCGAGTCCATATATCGACTCGCCGAGTTCCCCGCTTAAGTCCCGTGTCCACCTTGCTACTACTCGGCGAGTCGAGACGCAGACTCGTTGAGTTCATGGCAAAAGTTAAAAAAATATCTAAATAAAATCGTACCAGGAATCCGGTGTTACAAATCCCCCCTACTTATTTTAGACTCCGTCCTCGAAGTCTGCCGCTCCCTCCCGGAACAACTCCAGGTAATGCTCCATCATCTCATTCACGGGCTCCCAAGTCCATTCCGAGCCCTTCCGGTGCTGCCATTGCACCTTCACCAGTTCCACCCTCTTGTTCCTCAGTTCCTTCGACTTCCGGTCTAGGATAGCCACAGGCCGCTCAATGTAGTTCAGCCTGTCATCAACCTGAATATCCTCTAAAGGCACAACTACTAAGTCGTCCACCAGACACTTCCGCAACTGCGAGACGTGGAAAGTGTTGTGGATCTGGCTAAGTTCGGCTGGTAGATCCAACCTATACGCCACCTTGCTCACCGGTTCAACACCCTGAATGGTCCAATGTACCTGGGGCCTAGCTTGCCCCGCTTTCTGAATCGGATGACGCCCTTCCAAGGAGATACCTTCAGGAGAACCATATCCCCGACCCGAAACTACAGGTTTGATCGGCGCTTTTCGGCATAAATTTTTTGCCGACTCTGAGCAGTCTGAAGCCTACTCCGGACCTGATGAATCTTCTCTGTTGTCTTGAGCACTACTTCGGTGCTCCCCATGACTCTCTGTCCAACCTCGCCGCAACATATCGAGGTCCTGCACTTCCGTCCGTACAACATCTTGAAGGGAGGACGGTCAATACTCGTGTGGTAGCTGTTGTTGTATGAGAACTCAGCTAAAGGAAGGTAGGTATCCCAACTACCACCGAAATCTAATACGCATGCCCGCAACATATCCTCAAGAGTCTGGATGGTCCACTCACTCTGACCGTCCGTCTACGGGTGGAAGGCAGTGCTAAAATGCAGACGAGTGCCCAACTCATCATGAAACTTCTTCCAAAACCTGGAAGTAAAATGCACATCCCTGTATGAAATCACTGATACTGGCACCCCGTGCCGCGCCACTATCTCCCTGATATAGATATCGGCCAACTTCTCGGCCGAGATGCTCTCCTAAATCGGAATAAAATGGGCGCTCTTGGTCAATCGATCCACGATGACCCATATAGAGTCCACTCCCTGCGCGGTCCTGGGAAGCTTAGTGATAAAATCCATCGTAATATCTTCCCATTTCCACAACGAGATATCCAATGGCTGCATCTTGCCGTGCGGTCTCTGATGCTCGGCCTTGACCTTCCTGCAGGTTAAGCACCATTCGACGTACCAAGCCACATCTTGCTTCATTCAGGGCCACCAATAGTCTAAACGAAGATCCCTATACATATTCGTCACCCCGGGATGAATGGAGAATCGGGATTTGTGCGCCTCCTCCATCAAGATCTGGCGCATGCCTCCGAGGTATGGCATCCATACCCTACAGTGTAACATCAATAATCCCCTGATATCGTAGTCGAAGGAGGAAACCTGACCCATTATGCGCTCACTCTTCCGATGTTCCTCCTTCAAGGCCTCCTGCTGGGCATCCCGAATCCGCTCCAAAAGCGGAGTCAGTACTGTCATCCGCAGGAAAATATCCCTGATCGGCGCCGCATTGAGGCTAAGTGCATTGGCCACCACATTGGCCTTCCCCGGGTGGTGATCTCACAATCATAATCCTTCACCACATCAAGCCACCGACGTTGCCTCATGTTCAAGTTCGGCTAGTCCATGAGGTACCTCAAACTCTTGTGGTCCGTGTAAATGGTACACCGAACTCCATAGAGATAATTTCGCCAAATCTTGAGGGCGAAGACCACCGCCCCCAACTCTAAATCATGCGTCGGGTAGTTCGCCTCGTGAGGCTTCAGCTGCCTCGAAGCGTAGGCGATGACATGCCCTCTCTGCATCAATACCGCGCCTAAACCTGAGGTAGACGCATCACAGTAAACCACAAAATCCTCTACGCCCTTGGGTAGGGCTAAGATTGGTGCCTCGCACAATCTCCGTCTTAGAATCTCGAACGATGCCTGCTGCTCAGGCCCCCATCAAAATACCATGGCTTTCCTAGTCAACCGTGTCAGGGGTACGACTATCTTGGAGAAATACTGAATGAATCTCCGATAGTAGCCTGCTAATCCTAGGAAACTCCGAATCTCGGATGGAGACTTCGAAACCTCCCATCTCATCACGGCCTTCACCTTGGCCGGGTCTACGGAAATCCCGTTCTGGTTGACGAGGTGCCCAATAAACTGCACCTCGCGCAACCAAAGCTCACATTTGGAGAACTTGGCGTACAAGCTCTCCCTCCTCAAGGTCTCCAAAACCTCTCTCAGATGCTCCTCGTGCTCCTCCCGCGTCTTGGAATAAACCAAGATGTCATCAATGAAAACTATCACAGACCGATCCAGCATCGGTCTACATACGCGGTTCATGAGGTCCATGAATGCGACAGGAGCATTGGTGAGCCCGAACGGCATCACCACAAACTCATAATGGCCATAAAGCGTCCGAAACGCGATCTTCTGCACATCCTCCTCTCTGACCCTCATCTGATGATAACCTGAATGCAAATCAATCTTGGAGAACCAAGATGCTCCCTGCAGCTAATCGAAGAGGTCGTCAATCCTCGGGAGCGGGTAACGGTTCTTCATCGTTACATTGTTTAGCTCTCGGTAATCTATACACATCCGATGCGACCCATCCTTCTTTTTCACAAACAGGATCGGGGCTCCCCAGGGTGAACTGCTCGGTCTAATGAATCCCTTATCTAACAGCTCTTGCAGCTGTGTAGACAACTCCTGCCTCTCAGGAGGAGCCAACCGATATGGTGCCTTGGCTATCGGAGCCGCACCGGGGACTAGGTCGATCCTAAACTCTACCTGTCGCTCCGGAGGTACTCCAGGAAGCTCCTTTGGGAACACATCATCGTAGTCTCACACCACTGGAACCTCGTTCATCGTCGCCTTACCCGCCTCCCGGGTATCCACCATATACGCGACATATCCCGCGCAACCCTGCTGAAGGTAGTGCCTGGCTCTCGCTGCTGAACATACTGTGGGTCCACGTTGTGGCCTCTCGCCGTGGATCACCAACTCTGCCCCACTTGGGGTCCTGATTCATACTAGCTGTTGTGCGCAATCTATCACCGCTCCATTAGGGCTCAACCAATCCATGCCTATAATCACCTTGTTCCCACGCAACAGAATGAGAACCAAATCCACCAAGTAGCGCTCCTAAAATAGTCTCATAACACAATCTCTGAACACCGCTGATGCCCGCACCGATCGATCATCTGCAGGGTACTAAATCCATAGTTACCAACGTTTATTAGTAAGGCACTAAGTCCATAGCTGCTAATGTTCGTTTATGAGGCACTAAGTCCATAGTTGCCAGGGTTTTTAGACAACATATGGCGAACAGATCGTTCACAACACCTACAGGTTACGAGCCTGTTAGTGTTCCACCGGACTGTCTAGAATAATTTGTGGTTGTCATCTATACTTTGTTAGATGATTGGGCCAACGCTTGGGTTAAGGCTTCTCATCATCTATACCTCTCATCATTGTTCTCCATCTCTCATCGTCTATATCATCTTTCATCTCTCATCATTCATCTCACCTTTCATCTACCCATTTTTAGTCATTATAATTATAGGTATAAAATACGTATACAGTTTAAATCGAAAAAACATGTATATTTTGTTCATTCAGTATAGATATCAAGAACACAGATAATATGCACACATAGCACATAATTTATATTAAGACAAAACTTTAAAAATGATCCGTGTGGTTTCCAAAAATATCAAATTTAGTCCCTATGTTCCAAATACCTCACAGATGGTCCCTGTGGTTTCAAAACTTTTAATATTTGGTCCTTCCGGCTCACTCCGTTAGCTTTTGGCCGTTAAGTGAAGGGTATTTGTATCATTTCACTGCCACAGGGACCATTTATGAAGATTTGTCTTATTAAAAAAAATAATTATTTAATATTTAAGTGTCCCACCTCTCTCTCTCTCTCTCTCTCACACACACACACACAAAAGAAGCTAAACCATCTAGATCACCATTTCTTTACTCTAAAGCTTATGTATAACAAGAAAAAGAGAAGATAAATATCAAACAAGGTCCATATCTTGTTATTCACCTGACTTTCGCCTTGAACAACCTCCCATAACCATGCGTGCAATCAATCCCACCGCCGGAGCCATCGCCCTAAATTTAGACCTCAACTCAGTATCATTGGAGCCACCATTGGAGCCATCAGAAACACAGCCAAACTTACTGAAAAACCCATGGATCTTCATTTACTCTACCTATATTGCCTCACTTTTGTCTGTACTCCTTCTTCTCCTTTCGATTTCCCTCTACTCCATTGATTTCTCTCTATGTTGTTGTTGCTCTCTACCATCACCAGCTTCATCGATTTCATTTATGAACTCTTCTTCTAGCTCTTTATGAGTTGCGGTAAACACTAAGATTTGGCCAACATCTGAACATCGATGATCGCCTCCTCCTTTCAGACACCTCTTCGTGTCAGCTACCACAACACTGCCATCAAAATCAAACGATTTGTTCCCAATGAAATCGATGGAGGAAGATCCCAAGCAGGTGAAATAAATTAATCCTTAGAGTTTTTGTTGGTTCTTGATGAAATTGATGGAGGCAGAACCGATTTCATGAGTTATAGATGGGTGAGCTTGTATTTACGAAGCTCACAGATGCAGAGCATTTAGAGGAAGGCAACAATGGAGATGATGCTTCCTATTTAGGTCAAATATTATAGGCAGAGTTTGAATCTAGGTTACAATTTTAGATTTTGATTTGGGGTTACCAATTTAGGTTAAATTATGGTGATTTTGCTCTAATATTGGTGGTGTCGGAGAAATAGAGAACGTGAGGGTGATGGGTAAGGGAGGCTATTTTGATTTTTCTAATAGGAGCAACTTATCGTATTTTCCGGCGAGTTTCAACGTGACACAGTTTGTGAACTCTAGGAAGAAGGATTCGGAGAAAGGAGAACCAATCTGGGGTCGGAAAATCAAGAACATTTCTATTTCAATTCCAACAATGGTGGTAGGAATGAGTTTACTCGAGTGAGTTATGGATTAGTGGTGGGTTTTGTCGTCGTACCTTCTTGGCGACCTTCTTAGTGTTGAAGATCTTGCAAGAGTACGGCATCTTTTAGATGATGTTGAGGCTTATATAGGGTAGAATTGTGAGAGAGAAAGAGCAGCAGTGGCGGTGGTTGGTGGTCTGAAAATTATAGCGGCGATGGTAGTGCTTCTCCACCGGTAGGTGAGGGTCGAAGGAGAAAGAGTGCAGATTTGGGATTTTTTCCCTTTGATTCTTCATCGTTTCTCTCTAAAGATGGAGAAAGAGAGAGAGAGAGAGAGAGGTGGGACCATTTAATATTAAATAATTTTTTAAAATAAGACAAATCTTCATAAATGGTCCCTGTGGTAGTGAGATTATAGAAATACCCTTCACTTAACGGTCAAAAGCTAACAGAGTTAAAAAAAAGGACCATTTGTTAAAAGTTTTGAAACCACAGGGACCATCTGTGAGGTTTTTTGAACTTAGGGACTAAACTTGATATTTTCGGAAACCACAGGGACCATTTTTGAGGTTTTGTCTTATATTAAATACTTCATATCTATTTATAAGACAGAAGTAGCTATGCACTCACTTGTTTAAACCGATGATTCCAAACTCGGACAACGCTTTGCTTCTTAACAATATAACTTCCTTCGACGAAACCTAGTATTCTTACTACTAGATTTTAGTCTAATATTTATTGCGACTATTTATGAGTAATATTGTTTTATAAGTGTTAAACAATACTTTCCAACCATTATGTACAGATAGGGGCCAGACATGAAATACCGGAGGGCAAGTCAATTTTGGCATTATAGCACTTCTGAAATTCAACAACCTTGTGCGACTCTTCAAACCAGATTCCCCGTATCGCTAGTAGTTAAAATATATTATAATAACACTTGATATATTATAATTTATAAGTTCATAATAACGATATTAAACTTAAACATAAGCTATACTTAGGGTAGGGTAAGCATATCTCACTTACCGAGGGTTGGCTAGGAACCGGGCTCTGTAAGAGTAGAAATTCCGAGCCAAAAAACACAGATGTTATTTTGTGGTTATTTTGAATTATTGTTTTTTCCACATGTCATTTTATAAGTTTTTCTATCTTATTAAATTTCATATAATATTTTAATGTAATAACTATAATAAATATAGTAATAAATGAATATCAATTTATTTAATTAATTACATTTTAATTTCAAAATTGCCAAAATTAAAGTTCATTAGTTTTTTTTTTATTTAAATTATTTGTTTAAATTTAAAAAATAAAAAAATATTTTATTATAATAATTCTTATTTTTCTTATTTTTTTTTTATAAATCTAAAGTTCTTAAATATTTTGATATTTATATTAAATTTTTTTTTTTAAAATTAACTCATATAATACATGAAACTCTATAACAACATTCGTTTTTATATTCAACAAGCATAAAGTGTATATGATAGTTACATTTCTTGTCGACTACAATGACCTAAATGCAAGTAATATATTTCTAGTTATTTGTTTATTATAATCTCTCATTTTTCTATTTCTTTTGTTTGTGCGTTATAGAAATAAAAGTAACATGCTACTGAACTACATAAGTAAATTAACTATAGTGACAATTAAACACACAAAAAAGAAGAAAGAAAAATCAAAACATGTATGGGCTTAATTTGAGGCTCAATGCCATTAGTAGCCGACCCCAGGCAAAGAAGCTTCCGCCCTACGGGTCTTTAGTGGGTGGTATATAGGATTTGCCTAAGGCCTGTTTTTAAACGGGTTTGGGTTTACCAAACGTTGACCAGATCAGGGTTTTGGGCTGGCTTTTGTGTAATATGCTTTATTTCTATCCTTAATCTTCTACGTACTCCATCCGTCGTCAACCTCGACGACAGCAACAGCTATTGGAGACCTCACCAGTTCTTCGCCAAGAACCCAATTTACAACACCCAGTCAGAGTTAGCCGGAGGTGATAAAATAAGTTGGTTGTTTTTCATTTTTTTGTCGGTTAATTCCATCATGCACTAAGTTCTCAGGGTAAAGTCCAAGAACGAAATCGACTTTTTAAAAAAGAAAAAATTATCATGAATCTTGAATTGGATTGAATTGAATAAGCATCAAAAACTCTTGTTTTTATCAGTATATTCTAATTATTTAAATAGATTCCAGGAATGCCGTAAGTCTTTTATCCTAGAAATGCTTTCGGATTTCAAATATACAGGTTGATTATCGGTAAAAGCAATAAAAGGTAAATTGTTTTTAACATATCCATTGATAACAACAATATGATTCTATTTATGATGGAGACTGGGAGACCAAAAAAGAAGCATAATCATTTAGCAGAAAGAAAAAAAAACCGTCGTTAATTATCAGCTGCTTATTACTATGGATCTTTTGTCTTCAGTTATCTGGTGAAGTTTACAATGATTTTTGGCATATTTTTAAGCCAACAATTTTGGCATGTATAACTTTGGCTGATGACTTTTTTAGATACCATTATAGGATGTATATATTTTGTCATCTCATTATACCTTATTTGTCTCATTCCATTGCAACTTTCTTTCTTCTTAACTTAACTGCTACTGAAAAAATGGAACCTCGATGGTGTTTTTCAATGATATTGATGTTACTATTTAATGTTTGCAGTTTCACTGGTATATATCTATCTTACTTCCTTTTGATCTTGTTCGTAAGGTAGAATTTAGAAAATCTCCTTTCTTTTATACTAATAATCAGCTATATATGCTTATCTTACGCCAGATTGTTATGACCCGTTGGATCCAAACGGTAACATTACAGTAACATTCGACATAATTCAATGGACACACGATGGCTATGTGGTTAGTATATATTATTACAAACGAATTTTCCATATCTTTATACAAAATTAATAATTTTTATGGGTATTATAGGCAAGGGTAAGTATCCAAAACTACTATCAATATCGGCATGTAGACAACCCTGGTTGGAAATTAGGGTTCACATGGGTCAACAACGAGATCATCTGGTCAATATCCGGTGCTATTGCAACACATAGAGGCAACTGCTCTGTTTTCAAAGAAGACCAAGTACCACATTGCTGCATGCCTACACCGGAGATAGTTGATCTGATGTCCGGTACTCAGCCGCCAAACTCGCCGGAAAACTGTTGTCGCGGTGGTGTTCTTGCCGCCTCGGCTATCAACCCTCAACAATCATCTTCTTCATTTGACATGGTTGTTGGTAACTTACAAGGAAATTCTTCATTACAGATGCCTCGGATGCCTGTAAATCTTACTTTACAGGCACCTGGACCAGGGTACACTTGTAGCCCTACCGAAGAAACTCCTCCATCTGTTGCTCTTGTAGTTGGTGGAAGAAGAGAAGAAGAAGTTTTTAGTAAGATCATGTCATTCTAATAATGAATTAATTGATCAACTAAGATGTTATATTAATATTACACAAATAAATAAAAGTATGTTATTATTTTGATGTTTACAGAAACATGGAAATCAACATGCACGTATTCAAGCTATCTGGCTAACAAAACGCCAGTATGTTGCGTTTCACTCTCAACATTTTATAGTCCGCAAATCACGACATGCTCTCAATGTAGTTGCGGGTGTAGACCAGCAGACAAGACAACATCATCATGCATTAGGTGTGCTAATTTAAACTTATATAACTACGTACTTTTGACATTTTTTGTAATTAATGAACTATATATATATCTTATCATATGCAAGAGTATGTAATTTACGTTTTTGTGTGATGAGCAGTGGTTCTAGTAATTCACTTGAGACAGAATTCGTTAGTAATTCAGACACGTTGAGGTGTACGGATCATATGTGTCCTCTACGCGTCCACTGGCATATAAAAACCAACTACATGGATCATTGGAGGGTGAAACTCACAGTTACGAATCTAAATTATAATAGAAATTATACTAATTGGAATCTCGTGGTTCATCATCCTGGTTTTTCTCAGTCTACAACAACGTATAGTTTTAACAATACTTTACTCCATACGCCTGGGATCCCAGGTAAACAACATTCTTTCATATAGTTTCAAATGCTAGTTAGTTATATAGTTATATCCCATGAAGTCTTATGGCCACTTCCATTTATGACAATTGAATTATTTGTAATGTAGATGATGTGGCCTTGTTTTGGGGTCTAGATTACTACAACACGAATCTTTTAAATGCTGACAAGGATCAGGTGGGGTCCGTTTCCACTGAGATACTTTTGGCCAAGGACCATAAAACATTCACATTGCACAACGGTTGGGCATTGCCAAGAACTGTCTACTTTGCGGGTGAAAATTGTGTCATGCCATCTCCCGACACTTTCCCTATGCTTCCAAGTGGTACTTCTACATGTAGGCCTTTCGGTAGCTTAATTATCCTCTTATTAGTATACCTTAACTTTAAACTACTAAAACTGTAATACAATTATCGAGTTTCCACAAAAATGTTATTTTTCTAGCAAAACATAAATTTCTTTTTCGATTTTTTTCCCTTCGTTTCTGTGAAATAGAAGTTATTTTTGACAAAAAAGCTTATACGGTGTTAAAATGCTGGGTCAACCTTTGCGGAGCATTTAGGGCTTTTTGTTATGTAATTATTTTATACATTTCAAACAACATGTTTGCCTTGAAGTACATTGGATTACTTTTGAAGTTTGTATTTTGTAATAACGTTTGCTGAACGTGTATTATTGTGTCATTTTTAAGGCCCATTTTCTCAGTGTTGTGGATATGTATTTGAAGTGGATAGTAGGCCTTTTACTTGTGAGTTGGTAACTTGGTAGAATGGTTTGCCAAATTGGTATGACTCTTTTTGTATGATATATAAATTAAAGTTGTTATAATATTATTGTTGACATTTTTTTGGAAAATGTCTTACTGTTTTTATTTTATGAACTAACACTGCAAATGTATATTGTAATTGAATGACTAGCTCATATGAACAACAAACCTAAGTTTTAATAGACAACTATGTCTACACAATATAACAATTTACAACCGCACTGAAGAATAATATAGTAAAAAACTACGAAGAACGTGAACAAATGACTTGAAAGAGTTTAAAAAGATATGCATTAAAAATAAGTTAAAACTAAATTTTCCCGTATATAATTTGTTACTCATAGCCCTATTGAAATTTCAAGCCTATTATTTTCTGCTGTAAAAGATAATTTGATTTCAAATTAATACAGTAGTTTATTTCTCAGGCACCAAGATTGCATTTCTTTTTAAAATAATTACCACATCCCCTTAATTTTGAGCTACAACAAATGTAAAAATATGTTATCCTTGATGTAGTTGTGTAGAAACATATTTTATAGAATTCATAAAAAAAATATCGTTATTGGAGATGTTTGGTTGGTTCTTTGGTAGAATTAGATGTTTATCCAGAAAATTTCACATTACTATATTTAGTAAAATAGGTGTTACATAACACTTAACCCTAAGTTCTTAACCATGCTTAGTCTTAAATCTTAATCACCCTTTAGGCTATCTTATCGGAAATCGATCCATGTCTGAAATGACCACTAGATCTGGACCTATCTTGGTAATAATACGATACTTTGGCATAATTCATGAATTTAAAATCTTAACATGTCACATATATAAGCCTAATTTTGTAACATCCTGTTTCGAGAAATTTCTTATTTAAGTAAAGGCATTGAGCTTAAATGAATAGGGTTTAGACCCTCTTTGGATGTTGATAATATTGGTTATGCGATCCAAACCCTTGGTTGTGTTGGAATCAAAAGGTAAAACTGGAAAAGTGATGTTTAGACTTCTTGCATTAAATATGCATTTTTGTTCATGAAGTTTTTAGTCCAAGATATCTAGATAATATTGTAGGGATCTTCAATACATTTCCATAAATATAAATAGAAATGTCAACGGGACCAAACGGGAGCGGAAATACCTGCCCCCGCTCCCGCCCCCGAAATCCGTTGGTGCCCCCGCTCCTGGATCCCCCGTTTACATAGCCCCCGATTACCTCCATCGCTCCCGGTTCCGCCCCCGTTCCCCCGATTTATAGGCTTAAAATTCGTTTTTTTTTTTTTTTTTTGCTAAACAACTACTTTGGTTTAGGCTAAAAAGACTATTTTTAACAACTTTAAAAGCTTAAAACCTAATCTTTTAGAAACAAAAAAATTAAAAATCCAACATTACGAATCCAACATTACAAAATGACAATTCTAACAATCTTATAAATATAAAATATGACAAATCCAATATTACAAATGTAAAATACTTACATGTCCAAAATTATATGATCAATTCACTACCTCTTCAATATCCATTAATTGGAAATGAGAAAGTAAAACCTAACCTAAACCTAAAATTGGAAAATCTATTTTGTATATGTATTTTATATTAAATATATATTTTTTTACATAAATGTACAACCGGGGCCCCCGTGGGAGTACGGGACGAAAATACCAACTCCCGACCCCGGTCCCGAAAATAAGCGGGGTTTAATTTTGCCCCCGCTCCCGCTCTCGCCCCCATTTTTTTTTTTTTTTTTAAATTTAGTCCCGTACGGGATCGGGGTCCCACAGGAGCGGGGCCCCACGAGGGTTTTTGACATCCCTAGATATAAAGCTTGTGGAAAACGAAGTTGGAACGAAGTTATGACCGTTTGAAGTTAGGAATGTTTTTTGCTTAGTCTAGTATGTCGGGCGTACAAGATGTACACTGGGCGTACTAGGCATACCCGGAGTACGCTGGGCATACTTGGTTTACGCAAGGCGTACGTATCAGAACCCAAATCCTATTTTTGTGGTTTAAGCCCTATTTAAGCTCCTTAACTTCCTCAAACCCATTCTATTCTCAGCCTCCACCTCTCCAGCACCCTCCCTTGAAACCATAACCCTAGTTTGAGCCTTGTAAGCAAAAAGAATATTTTTTTAAGTGCTTTGGAGTGTTCTTAATGCATCTTGGAGAATAAGGAGCTCATTGGGGAAGTGCTAGTTGCACTAGAGCTTGTAGATCCATACTTTGTTCACCTTGATCCTTCTTTTAAAGGTATAAAGCTTGAATCTCGAAAGCTTTAGATGTTATCAGATTTTGGTCATTTTGGTACATAAAGTTTAGATGTCGAAAGTTTGTGACCTTGTTATGGATAAAGTTGGAAACTTTATCCATCTAAACATCATTTTGATTCAGATCTGAAGGTTGGAGACTTGGACTTAATGGATTCAGTTGATAAAGATGCACTTTTGGGTCTCTTTCATACTTAAAAATTAGATCTTGGTTGTTTGGACCATTCAAATGGATAAAGTTTGAAACTTTATCCATTATGGAGTTATTATGAAGCATAAAAATATAATCTTGGTCCCTTATTCCCCTCCATGGAAATGTTAGAGAGCTTACGAGCTTAAGACAAGTTATATGTAACACCCTGTTTCAAATCATTTCATAATTTAGGGTCGTGACCTGAAGAACGGTTTGTTGGATAAGGTGTCTAAGTCCATAACTTATTTGGTATATACTTGACCCGACCGGCATGGTCCATTTGGGTTGCATCTCATCCAAACTATTATGGATAATTTTATGAGAGTTATACACATATGTTTATTAATATATTATGAGTTATAATATATTAATATGAAGTTACGTTATTTAATTAGTTTTAGTCTTAAATTAATTATGAATTAATTTAGAGATTAAAAGGAATACTAATTAAATTATGGGCTATTTGTTTTATATAGTGTGGGCTAATACTCATTTGTTAATGGGCTAGGCTTATGTGGAAGTCCATGGATGATCCATGGAGCTTTTAACCCATAGATCCTTGGAAAAGGAAAAGACATGGGTTATTAGGGTTTCACCCTAACCATGCACACTATATAAGCATGCTTATGGAGCATGAAATGGAGCCTAAGAGAAAACTAGTGAACTAGTGTGTGTGTGCATGTGTGTGGCCGATTTTATACAAGGTGTATACTCTCTCAAAGTTTTCCAAGAGTTTGTGGTGTTTGTGATTCCATTTGAGGCATTCACACTATTGGTGCTTGGCCCTCAAACTCCTTAGAACCAAACTACCAAAAGGTATGTAATCTCTTCTAACTCTTTTATGTTGAAATGTTCCCCATGCCATGTTAGATAGGTTATAAACCTTGGAAAATTATTATTTTGCATGTATTTAGACAAACATAGATCCAAGGTTTATTAGGGTTGCATGCACACTTAGGAAGTGTTAGATTGCTCAAAACCCAACAGTGGTATCAGAGCCTAGGCTTGCTTGTTTGATACTTGATGCAAAATAGTAAAAAAGTCGAAATCGTTGCTGTCAGCATGGTGGACTCGCCGAGTCCATTGGGGGACTCGACGAGTCCAAGGCAAACTTCAACCTACTCGGCGAGTAAGTTCATGCACTCGACGAGTAGGATCGAAAGAGTGCAGATTCTCGACTTTTGCTGCTGGAAATGGACTAGAAACATTACCCTAAACTGTTTTGGTGTTATAAAACTTATTTTAGTTGGTGTAATGGTTGTTCTAATCCATTTGCAATAGCATATATCAAAATTCCATGATTTTATGTGTTCATATAATTCTTGAATTTTTGATGATCATGTTCATGTTCTTATGAATTTAGAAAATGATAGGAATTATTTGCTGAATTGTTTAGGATTAATTCTTTATCATTTATGTGTTTTAATGGAGTCCATAATTTGTCCTCAAGTTATGGATTACCAAAGGTCACTTTCATTTAACACACACTTAAAACACATAAGTTACATGAAAATGAAGAGTCTTCATTTTTATGAACCTTTAATTCATAAGTTATGAAATGAAGAGTTTTGCAAAGTTACAAAACTTGCCCTCAAGTTTTGGAATTTGTAAAGTTTCACACACTTTAATAAACTTTAATTCCAAACCTTAGAGTTTTAATAGTTAAAATTCAACCCTTATACTATTTATAACATTAATGGTATATATATATATATATATATATATATATATATATATATATATGTATAAGAATAAGTCGTTTTACCGTTAGTAGGCCTCATTCACGAAGCCGGTCTATAAGGTGGGTATAAGGTTGTTGCCTATAAAATGGCGACTTAATGGGTGTATACTCTCACCCACCGCTTGCTTGATCGGTGGAGGGTCGTTAGCCGAACGGGTAGAACAATGACTTTAAATCCTCATTAAAAGTATAATGAATATTATAAAATAACTAAACTCTTTTAATTCCCAATCTTAGTTATTTTAGGAAAAATGTGAACATGGTGCTAGTCCATGGAATTCACACTTTGTACCTTACCAAGTCGTTGGTGGAGCGTGTGTGGTTAACCGGCACACTAACTAGGACTAGTAAGGATCACGAAGGGTGACTTAATGTTTGTCATAGATCAATGGAGCGTGTGTGGTTAACCGGCACATTGATTAGGTGATAATATTAAGAGTACCAAGTGAA